TGCCCGTGAACTACAATTTTTCAAATGGTCGCTTAAAGTTACATCTCCGGCACGAATTCTCATTTTTAAAAGAGCTCGAAAATTGCCTTCATTTGTGATCGATTGTTGAGGTTGTGGTGAAGAATTTGAAGGCACATCTAGGAGCCCGTCATCTCTGTGTCCTCTAAAGGCTATATTTTGTTTTCCCAGGGTAATAATAGTATCAATTATGGGCATTAATCTTTTTCGGTTTTCCTGGACTTGTTTCAAATTTGTTTGTGAAATTTGATTCTGGATTTCATTTTGCGGTTTACCAAAATTATTTAAAAACAAGTTAGCCCTCTCAATTGAGTTTTTGTGATACTTATTACTTTGATGGGTATCTAAATACCCATCTTTTCCTGTTAATTTGCCGAAATTTTGTAATGGCTGCTTCACCAGAATTTTTGCCTCATTTTGGCACTTGGTTTCACCAACAAAAGTAGGTGCAAACAACGAACAATACCTGCAAAACACCCCTTTTTTGGAGGGAGAATAAACTAACCATTTGAATTTGTCCAAATAAGTATGACTGAAATATCTTTTAATTTTTTTACCATGTAGTGTTTTTTCGGAATAAGGGAAATTATAATTTCTTGGTGGTATATAGGGGTTTTCTAATAACTCTTTTTTTTGTAAGTCTGAAATATTATTAATTTTATCAATAAATGACCCAATATCGTTTAATGCATGTTCAGGTTCAGCAAGGATAACAGGAGCGGGAAGCTCATTTTGTAGTTGAGGAGTATCCTCTCCATTCATAGGCAAAACACCTGAGTCTGAGTCTGTAGCTGTATCGTTGTCAGTTTCTTGATTTTCAGTAGCAGGATTACCTGCATCTGAAGCCTTCTGTTTTTTTCCTATGAAAAAATCTAATGTTTTTTGCCTTTTCGCCCTTTTCTTACAAGGTTGTCCCAAGTGATCCATTCTAAAATAAGAAACAAGAATCGTTCCACGAACAACCACAAAAACTAATCCTGTCTCTAAGCCCTAAAGCAAAAAAAACGAGAAACTGGTCCCTTCCTGAATAAAAATGCATTTATATACTAATCTACATGCGAAAACTCCCCAAGAATGATAATTTTCGTCCAACAAAATTATATTAAAAATGCGCGATTGCGCGACTGACTGCGCCTGATGATGAAAATATTGTACCTAGTTATGAGCATACATACCTGGTTTAGCTGATTGAGTATTTTATCGTAATTGACGTAATTCGTATCCTCTAGGAGAAGGCTTTTCGGCGCATCGCCGCCGGCCTAATAGCAACAAATTGTGCTGTGCTGTGCCTATCGCTGCGCTCCACGCACTGTCTATTGTATTGACAAGGAAAAAACAGGGAAGGAAAACCTGGAAAGCGTGTGTCGGAAATGTCATGTCGAGCGTCCGGCGCGCCCGGTTAAGTAAGTTAGGCTGTCACGCGCGAGCGGCGTCTGGTTGGTTGCGTGCCTATGAATCCTATTTGAAGAAGTCCATGCACAAGCAAACAAATTCCGCAACAGAGGTGTTGATGCAATAAATTTGCTAGTGTGAGTGTATGCCGCATTGTCCATCTGCAACCGTTTTTGTAAAATAATTTATACATTATTTTAATTTAATTACCTATATACCTATTATTAATTATATTTCGGGTCTCTCGGCAAGCGGCCTTGCAAAAATTTCACAACTATTTTTTTTTATAAGGCTCAAGGGGGGGGCAATTGCCCCTATTGCCCCCCCCTTGGATCCGCCACTGCGCAAAACATCAAATTTATACGCCCTCTAATTGGCGCATATGAACTGCTAGATGTTTCTGAGTCATACACATTTTTCTTATGACGTATGTTTTGAAACAAGAAATATGCATCTTCCTAAAAGGCGTATATCATATACGCTTGTAAAATTTGAGAAATTCAATATACGCTCAAAGTGAAATTAACAACGCAATGTGAGATCTGAGATGGGTTTTCAAATGACTAGCAGATCTCTTTTCTATTACTTGTTTAAGGCAAAATACCTTGTCTGTACCTGATTTTCCGGCTCTAAATCCGCACTGCTCTTCTTCTTCTTCTTTCTCTTTATAATCTTCCTCAATGAGATCACGCAGGATTCTACCGTATAGTCTACTTAGTGTGCTTGTAACTGATATGCCCTGATAGTTATAGGAGTCCAGCTTATTTCCTTTTTTGTGGATGGATGATATAAAAGCCATTTTCCAGTCTTGTGGAATAGGATGCTCATTTAGGCATTTATTGATAATACATGTGAGACTTTTAAAGACTTTCTCAGTTCCCCATCACAGCACAGCATTTCGGAGTATATCCCTTCTGGGCCGCTAGCTTTATCAGACTTAAGATTCTTGACAGTCTTTTTTACTGAAGTCTCCAAATACTCGAATATGTCTTGGAGAATCTAATATTTTGGTCTTCTTTCTTATAATAGACCATTGTTCTATCCATTGCTCTGGTTTTATTACTTAGATATTAGCTCCTTTCCTTTCCTGAGTTTATGACATTTGATATAAATCTCCATACCTCTGAGCATTTCCTTCCTCCTATGTAGGTGTTAATTTCTTCACATTTCTTATCCCATGACTCGTTCTTAGCTATAGTGATGCACTTTCTTAGTTGTCTTTTCGTGTCTTTATAAACTTCAAGGTCTTGCTCATTTTTTGTTGTTAGTTAGCTATTTCAGATATTTTTGCTTCTTCTCTTAGACTAATTGCTCTATCTCCTCCTTCCACCAGTATTCCTTGTTAGTATTTTTTTCTTGGTTTCTATTAGCTTCTATTAGACTCATTATAATGTTCTCATAGAGTTTATTGAAGGTACATTCTTGAGGATTTAATAGTTTGCTGTCCAATCGCCTCTGATATAGAAATACAGTGCTTTCATCACTAAAACTGTGTAAAAATTGTATTTGGTTGTATCCACTGTGTCCGTGGGCATGGCATTGATGTTTTGTTCCTCTGGTTTCTTGTTCATTTTCCTAAATGGCAACTTTATTTTGGCTGTTACCAAATAACGATCTGACCCGCAAGTTATTCCTCTTAGGACTCTTACGTCGTTTATCTCCAGATTTGTTTCTTGTTTGCTTATCACATAGTCAATAATAGTTTTTAGGTTACAGGTATTCTGTATCCATGTCTAGCGGTGAATATCTTTGTGTTTGAAAAATCCATAGTTCATTCTAAGATTGTGGGTCTCACAGAGATGTATGAGCCTTTGGTCATTATCATTGATTATTTCTTCTCCAAATGGTCCTACAATTGGGCTATTGTTCGTCCTTCCGGTTCTTCCATTGAAATCCCCTATCATTATATAATTTCTGTTTTTCTTCCAATATCTACTATGATTTCATCCAATTTGTCAAAGAACTCTTGCTTTATGCCGACTCTTTTGTCCTCTGATGGAGCCTAGGCTGCTATAATGGTGATGTTATAACCATGTAGTTTCAAGTTCACCATTAGGATATTTTCATCTACAGCTTCCCAGTTGGTAATTTTGTTTTTCCAGTTTTTCCTTATCAATATGCATACCCCCTAGCTGCTCTCATTTCCTTTGACACTCCAGTAAAAAGGTGAATACCTAATTCTCCAACATTTTCGGTGCAACTTCCTTTTTTCTTGGTTTCTAAAACGATGTTCAACAGTAAACCTGAGAATCAGAAATTCCTGTGTTAGGGTGTTATCGAACAAGTTCCAGAAAAAACTTAGAAACATCAAAAATGCTAATGACCGATGGCGTGTGGTGGAAGGGTGACAGAAAAATGATGCTACGGTAGATTCGATTAATTCTGTGTACAAGTTTCTCAGAAACAAAGCAAGGAAAAGGTTGGAAGATACGATACTTTCATTTTATTTATCAGTCCAGAAGTTTTTGCCCGTACCTCCATTGCCAGCATGAGAAGTTTCAATGATTGAATAAATGAATTGAAGTACCAAAGATCGAAAACTACAAGGTATCTGGAAATTCAACTAAAATAATTCGACGCAGTTGATGAACTGGGTGAAATTGTATAGTATAGTAGAAATAAACCACGACTTGTGAATAATGTTCCTATATAGTTAGCTTTGGAAACTTCGTGTGTGCTATTCAATCGCTAAATGTGAAGATTATTGAAGAATATGATGCTCAAAACACCATATCTAGGAAATGCATTGATTGCTCGAGAGAAATTCTAACTACAAAGGAAACAAGACGAAACTGTTGGAAATTCAGCCACGAGGGGAAGCAAAAATTATGAAAGTGGTGTATTTGTTGAACAAATACTTAATATAGAAAACATGTGTGAAACAGTAGTGATTTAAAATCTAAAAATAGGAATTTGGCTAAACAACAACAGAAATTAATTTGGGAAATTGGTTTTTAGATGGAAATGGTACAATTTTCTGTATAATGCTGCTGGCTTAAAATAGGTAGTCCAAATCCTGTTTTTCATGCTAGAAGTACCTAAATACATGGAGATGAGTATGGACACCAGATACATTATTGCACCATTTATTAATTCGAACAAGGTTTGGAAGAAAAGGGCACCAAAGGTTTTACCGAAAGGACCAAGAAGTCGAATGCGGTTCAAAGCATACATTGGCAAAATATTGCAAAAATGTCTGGACCTAATTTCAAAAAAGCTTTCTCACATCGATTGCAATACCAGTCTTTTTGAACAACTAACTTATTTTTCGGATGAAGCCTCAAAACGCAAAATTTTGAGAAATTATAGTATTAAAATGTTTCTATCAAATGTAGTTTTTTCAAATACATGAATCGCAACCGTCATCACGAAATAAAGTCCCACGTCGGTGCCACTATATCTCTATATTTATACCACTATAGGCATTAAGCTCAGCAAGAAAAACAAACTTTCTCGATTGGATATGTTTACTTAACCCCGGATTTAGACCCTATTTAGTTTCGATACCTACTTTCAAAGAGGTATTTCATCTGTTGAGATTTACCGACTTTCGGAGATTGAAATTTAAAAGTTTTTTTTTTTTCTTTCAGATCTTCTGCAATACCCCACAAAGGTGGTACCACCAGCTCGATACCGTTACCAGGCAGCGCTCTACCCGCCCGAAGATGCCCACCAGACAAAGTGCGACCTGTTGCAGGCTCATCCAGAGCGACCAGTCCTGCTTTGAGCATGATACCAAGAGGACCACCCGCGTCACAAATCGCCAGTCCTTATCAGACTGCTCAGAAAAATGCTGTGGTGCAAAATGGCTCTATGTTAGATAAATTAAAATTATTTAAGGTACGTTGGAAATTTTTTGTAAGAAATATATTATTATATTTACATATTTTTTTTTTGTAGAACAATGACAAAATCAGTAATAGCACAAACGGCAAAAGAACCAGTTCCTCTAGCGGCGTGTCATCGGCCAAAAGTGAAAGAAGCGACAGCAGTGCCTCGATCGAAGCCACCACTGATACCAAACCAGTCAAGAACATTTCTAGAATCAAGCAAGCAACAAAACCAACAACAAATTCAGTGTAAGAAACTTTTATAAATTTAAGTGTGTTGGATTTTCGTGGCATGTGAATGTTTCAATTAAAATTGATGAAAAACTTGGCTTTATATTGATGGTTGAGCGTCTCATCCCAATACCTGCTGAAGTTGCTATACCTATGTCGACGACGCATCCGTGGTTGAAGGGATAATGGATTCCAAAACAGCCATTAATTGCAATTGTGTTTCCCTTATACCTTCGAACTCTCTCCCATACCAACGATAACCGCCGAAGGTTGCCGTTGGTCTTCACAATTAACAACTTAAAATTGATGAAAGACTTGACTGACAAGGTAGAAATGGAACAAGTCTTGGTAGCTCAGTTGGTAGAGCATTGCACTGGAAATGCGAGTCTCCCAGGTTCAAATCCTAGTCGAGACAAGAAAATTTCATTCTCAATTCTAATTGAAACGTCTACATGCCACGAAAATCCATCACACTTTAATCAAATAACAGACGATAAAACTTGTAAAAACTTTATAAAGATTCCAAACACCTTTTACTGATTTATATTATTTGCAGTTCCAAAACTCCCCCGCAAAAAAGCAGCCCCAACGCCACCAAAAAAGACAACCAAAAGGTGGTGCATCAAAATGGCGGACTCAAAATGGCCAGTGAAGTAGAAAAACACGCCAGCAAAGTAGCAGCCTTGCCAGCAAGCAAAATTGCGGAACCCAAAGTCAGAGTATCAGCTTTGAAAGACGTGAAATCAATATCGGTGCCTCACCAACTTGGAGGCAACGGAACTGGAATACCTAAACCAACTTTAGCTGTTAAAGGTATAACCTACTTAACTGGTTTATAAATAATTTGTTTTATGCACCATGCTATTTTTTCAGGGACCACAAAACCAATACAATCATCAAACATATCTCAACCCCAAAAACCACCAATGTCACGTGAATCGTCACAGCACTCTCTCTCTAATCAAAAACCAGCAGTTGCAATGGTAACACCAACGAAAAGTGCCGATCTTAGTTGCACTAATCAGAAAGTAGAGCCAGCAAAAGACAATCAACTATCAGAGAGTAGTAGCACCTCAACAGGACCACAGAGCAATTCAAGTGACAGTTCAGTCATTTATAGGCCTTCTAGTGAGAGTAGTTGTTCAGAACACGTGAATAATCCAATTCCAAACAGGTACTGTTATTGCTCTCTATACTAGCAGAATTATTATAAATTCATTTATTTCTAGGAAAGAACCATTGACATATCTCACAGATGTTACGATGCCGCAGCCTCACATCACTCACCACGTGCCTCTGGAGCCTCTGAAAGAAGCCCAAGAAGTTGAAAGTCCAATTAAATCCAAACCCATGTCACCTACAAAACCCGCAGAAAGTCCACGACTGACCACTATACCAAACCATATCAGACAAACCATATCTAAAGTAGGAGACAACCAAACTCAGTTAGATAAAGATAGAAATATTAGTATGAAACACATAAGGGATCAAAGTTTTTGCGTACCTAAACCTGTACAAGCTAATGGAAATCATAATATACAAGATTTCAATTTGAATAAGCAAGATCCTGTGGGACTGTTCGGTGAAGATGTTATGGATAATGTTAATATTAACGGTAGAGAGTTGGTTAACGGAGAAAATCTTGATATTGAGCCAATGAGACCGTTGTTGAGGGGCTATTGTAGCACTTTGACATTACCTGGAAGGCAAAGGGGTCCTTATAATCGAGTCCCGTCAGATGGGGATTATTGCGAGATTTCTATGGCTAATGGGTAAGAATTTCATGGTCTATTGTTTCCACTTTAAATGATTATTCGAAAAACTATGAATTTATTGGCTTTGAAATTGTGACCAGTGTTCATCGGTTTGTTAGACGTTCAGTTTTATGGAAAATGAATAGTGTTTTGAGAGTTTAAATGAATAACTAACCCCTAGGAACCAATCTTAACAAGGTCAGAAATGCACCACTGATTATACAGGGACAGGATTGTCGTTATGTATGGAAACGGTCTAACATTTCAGAATGCGCTTACAAAAAATGTAGGTACCAACTATATTTCCTACCTACCTGGGGTTTTTTAGGAATGCCTGATTCAGTGGTGGTATTTGCGATATTGCCAAGTTTACCGTTTCTAAGATGCAAGATGCCATGTGTAACTTAACTTTTTCAAATGAAAGTCCCTCTTTATTTTTATTTTAATTAATTCAGCGACAACCCTGTATAATAACTGAACAGATTAACATTTGTAATGAAATTTGAGATGTGATAGTACCTTTCCAATACCACCTGATGAATGTCAATTGCACGTTCTTTGCGGACTTCTTTAGACATTCTACGTACGTTGATTTAGCACTATGGATGAAAAAACTGGCTGAAGAAAAGAATAAGAAATTTTACCCGCAATATAAAAGTAGGCCAACATAAGGAAACTGTGATAATTACGAGAGAAGAAACTAAGGAAAAATTGATGAAGCGAGCAGTGTCAATTGTTCCTCTTGAGTTCACTGAGCCAGTGATCCTCTGATCCACTGATCCTTTCATTCTGCTCATCTTTCTGATCCAGTCAGTGTAAACATGTATAAATCTTAATGGGCTGGGTAAGATCTCGGCCAAGACAAGAGATCCAATCCTCTGAGTTCGTTTTCCGACCTGAAAGTTTAGCGTCAATTTGAGCAAAGATTTTTTAGAGAAATTCTCATTTATACAGCTAAAAATAGAGGCCCTAAGTTATTTATTTACTTATTTTTTTCAAATTGCTACTTTTATTGGGCAAAATTATATACACACACCGGCAAAATTAGGGGAATGGACAAAATTTACACTAAGTCTGACATCAATTTTCTCTTGAACCCTCCGCTCGATTTGGATGAATTTTTCAGATTGTAGCTTGATTCTTCAGGAATACATCTGGCGTATTACCGTTATTAAATGATCCGTCTTTATCTTTTTTTGTGCTTACTGCACAGGGTGTCTCCACCACTGGAAATTCAGAAGTTTTCAACACCAAATTGTAGCCTGATCTTTTTCGAACATTTTCATTTTTTGTTCACTCTGATAATTGATTTCTAATATCATTGAAAATAGAGTCTCGCAGAAAAGGTGGATATTGACCTTAATTTTCTCCACATCGACATACGAGTTGGATATGAAAATGTGTCGTTTTCCAACTTCAACTCGTGTGTGTGAATGTTTACTTCAAGTTAAATATTGCTCGCAGTTTTACCTCTTACCGATCAATTCATTGTGAAAAGAATACAGGGGAATCAGAAAATTCGTCAATATCCTACCGATGTGGCGAGGTCTGTTGAATGATAAATTGGAGAAATCCTAAGCCTTGGTTTTAAATGTGAAGGGAGAGTTTAGAGAGTTTAGTTAAGATAAATAATATTCCACCAAATGGAAATCATGAAAGGGACTTTCTGATCCCCCCCTGTATATTTGTGTGCATTCTTTTCACAATAAATTGATTGGTAAGAGGTAAAACTGCGAGCAATATTTAACTTGAAGTAAACATTCACACACACGACGTGAAGTTGGAAAACGATACATCTTCACATCCGCAATTCGTATGTCGACGTGGAAAAAATTAACGTTAATATCCACTTTTCCTTCAAAACTCTGTATTTTTAATAATTTTGAAAATATCAGAGTGAATGAAAAATGAAAAAGCTCGGAAAAGATCAGGCTACAATATGGTGTTCTGAATTTCCAGTGGTTCACTCCACAGGGTGTTTCAAAAAACACTGAAAATTACAGACTTTCTTTCCATCCCTGTATATGACATAAAGACGAATCATTTAATAACGATAATACGTCAGATGTATTCCTGAAAAATCAAGCTACAATCTGTGAAAAATTCATCGAAATCAAGCAGAGGGTTCAAGAGAAAATTGATGTTAAACTTAGTGTAAATTTTGTCCGTTCCCCTAATTTTCCAGTGTGTGTAGATTTTCGGGATAAATAAACAATAAATATATAAATTCTTTTTATTTTTGCAGCTATCTATCAGAAAGCGAACTAATCCGAGGCTCAAACCCAATAGACATATCAGACGGATATCTTTCGGAAGGAGGTTCTGTACTTTACGCTAGAAGAGTGCAAACTCAAAATGCGCCAAACGGGTAAGTACATATTAGCGTTAAACATGTTTGAACAAACAATCAATTACCTTTCCAAACTGGCTGTATGTTGCAGACAAATAATCCGGAGGGTTAATTAATATCAATTTCATGTTGACAGTCTAAACTGATACAAACTGAGGTACATATTAACGGTAAATTTGTAAAATTAGAATTTTTCATTGTTAGTTGCAGTGCCAAGAGATATCTATTATAAAATAAAGGAAAACAATTTAATTCAATTACTTATGAAACGATCCATAACCACCCTTCATGAAATACTCTTGATGATATTTTCCTATGTCGCTAGATAATTTATAGTGAAACCAATTTTATCAAAAGGGGAACATCTGGGATGTAAAATTTTCTGATGATGCTTCACTTCCTCTTCCGAATATAAGTGCCATGTAATTTACATGAATGTATTTGGGTGTCGATCAGGTTAAAACGTATGCATATTGGTTTTATTGGAAGTCTAGGATGATATAACATCTATATTTTAAGGGTCTAAAAACTGTAACAAAATATTATATGCACTGTAATGTTGTGTATCTTAACATACCTTTCAGATTATAACAACAATAGAGCTTTAATCTTCCAACGAACGATTAATCTCACATCTTCCGTCAAGTTTACATAATAACGCTATTAGGCCCAGAAACCATTTTTCTCAACACATAACAATGAATCAACAGCTTTTGCCTTAATGAACCTTAAGACGAAAATAACTGGCGTCTCGCAAATCCACTTTGCCTGAGCGCGTCGACACAATAACAAATTTTCCCCCCAAAATTAAATCTCCTTCCCCCCTGCATTAAATCCTTTCACATAAAAGACGCATTGTTATTTCCTGCATTCCCTTACACAGCTTTAGTTCCCCACATAAACCCGAAAGATTTTAAGCTGCTTATAACAACTGTGGCCGGCGTCGTCCTGCTGAAAACGAGTGCTTTCGAATTAAATTTGATGATAGAGCAAAGAGAACGTGAAATTGGAGAATCGACGGAGTTTGTTAAGAAAACAGTGCAGATTGAGCAGCTCAAATAACATATAGACAGATAAAGTCCGCATTTTTGAGCTGGATAAATATCTACCTCATCAGTTATCTAACTTTAATTTTTGTGCTGGATTATTTGATTTCGACAAACTCTGACCGGGCACATTTTGCTTTATCGTTAGTTCCCTTGCTTTTTGGAGTTCTTGTTTCGTCACTTTCTCTCACACTTGAAAACAACTAAAACAAAGGCGCGTCCCACTGCAGTATTCATTGCGGAATAACAAAGTTGAGCACAACCAAGGATTATAGCTGTGGATGTAAAGGTGTTGTTCTTATCTTACGAATTCCCATAATCTCACAAATTTTCTTAAAGATGGCAGATTTGAAGTTTCGTCCCTGATCTGAATGTAACTCTAGTGGCATACCATCATGACTGAAAACTTCGTCCACTAGCCCCTGGGCAATATTGATGGCTTCTTGATTGAGAATAGCTACATAAAACAGCATTTTCCTCCGACACCAGACATTACGAGTTCAAACGTATGCCCTTCGGTTTACGAAACGCCCCAGCATCTTTCCAAAGGGTAATGATCAACGTTCTTCGTGGCCTCCAGAAAGAAATATGTTGCGTTTACTTATATGATGTCATAATATACAGTACGTCACTCCAAGAGAATATCGAGCGTTTAAAATTAATATTTGAACGGTTCAGACAATCAAATTTCAAGATTCAACACGATAAGTTCGAATTTTTACACAAGGAAGTCAATTACCTTGGACATTTAATAACCAAAGAAGGCGTAAGACCCAAGCCAGATAAGATACAAGCTGTGAAAAATTTTCCTATTCCCAAAATACCAAAAGATATCAAATAATTTTTAGGACTAGCTGGATACTAAAGAAGGTTCATAAAAGATTTTGCTAAAATTGCCAAACTAATGACGTTATGTCTTAAAATTCCCTAATTCTTAAATACCCTGATTTCACACAACCCTTCCTATTAACCACCGATGCTTCCAATACAGCTCTCGGTGCAGTTTTATCTCAATCAACGCCCCCAAACGATCATCCCGTAGCTTGTTGTTCAACCGGATTATTATGATTTTATTAACAGCCAATATAGATATGATAGCAAATTGATAACTTTTGGCATTGTGGTACTTGTTTGAAATATTTCGTTCCATTTAAACATTCACCAACGCACATACAGCAGCGAGAGTTATTTCTACCTTTCATCTGATGTAATTCTGCTTTAGGTTCTCAAGTATCTATTTCTGCACCGTCTTCTGATCCTTCACTTATTTGTCTTCTTTGGTAGTTATCGAATATCTTAGACTGTAGGACTGCATTTTTGTATCAGTAAATATTTCATTTGTGTTCGATTGTATTTTCAATCACCTTAGTGATATGATCTTCATTCTTCTCAGGTATTTCTGTGGATTTCCTTACAAGTTTCTCCTAGTCTGGCTTTCATGATATAGTTCTCCTTATGTCTTGAGTCTGGAGCATATCTTCTTCTTAACTTAAGGTGCTTTATCCATTAATGAATGTTGGTGATAATCCTGGCATAATCGTTTCGATCTTGCGCGGCTCTGAAAGTGCATGGATGTTGACCTTTGTCCAGTCTCTTATGTTCCTTAGCCACGAATATCTCTACCTCCCGATGCCTCACTTTTCCTCGATCTTTCCTTTTATCATCAGCTTTAGGAATTGATACTTGAAATTTCTGACGATATGACCCAGCATAGTTTTCCTTCTTTTCACTATCTGTAACAAATTCTTTCTCTCTTTTGTCATTCTATTCAGAACTTCTTCGTTCGACACACGATCCGTTTGTCAAATTTTTGGCAATCTTCTGAATATCCACAATTCAAAGGATTCCAGTCGGTTCGGTAATGTAGAATTTCACAAAACGGTAATGTAATATTGTTTAGACTGTTGTTGCTCAGAAGAGGTCTCATATTCATAAATGTTGCTCTGGCTTGCTCAATTCTGCCATGTTTTTCTAAGTCTGGAACTAGACCTTCGATTATCCAGCTGCCCAGGTATCTAAGCTTTACGACTTGCTGGATTTTGCCGCCATTCACTGTGATATTCAAGTGCACATTTGGTGTTCTACTAATCATCATTGCTCTCGTTTTGTTTATGTTAATCTTTAGGCCGAATCGCTAGCCTTCGATAGTTATTCTATCAACAAGGCGTTGTAATATGCTTCCTGGCTGTCTGCTACTATGACTGTGTCGTCAGTGTAACGTATGTTGTTGAAAACCTATTCATTAATCTTGACTGTCCTCTGCGTCTTTCAAGACACATTCAAAAATCGTTTCAGAATATAGATTGAAGAGTAGGGCAGGCATAACGCAACCCCGTCTTACTCCTGTTTCGATCGGGAATTTCTGTGTAGTTTCACTTATAAATCGTAGATCGTTCTTATATATCATCCTATCTTGAGGCATCTTTATTAGCTAAGTGTGTTTGACACAATCGAACGCCTTCTAATAATCTATGAAACACATGAAAACGTCCTTCAGTACTCCTTAGACCTCAAATATTGACTGGAGCCAGTCCTCATATACAGGTCTGACATGTCAAGTCTTACAGGCCAATTTTAATGCCATAGACTGAAATTTCTAAAAAAAAAGTCTAAGGTTGAATAGAGAACCAAAACGATTTTCACTTCCAGCATGGAGCGTTGGGAATGCTGGAGGTAGAATAGGGGAAATCGTTTTCGTTCTCTATACGTCTGGTCCTCCTGCTTTTCCTTGTTTGTTTGGTTTAATTGCCTCGAAAACTTCTGATTTCAGTATTTTTGGACAGGGTTCACCTTCATATTCTTCATTGAAATCTCTTTTGGTATTCTCTGCATAAAGTTGTTGTGTTAGTTCTTCCAATAGGTGGAGAAGTTCCTTGGGATCAGATATGATACTATTGTCCTTCACTATATTTCTCAAATTGCAAAATTTATTAAATTATACATATGTGGTTATGCTTCTCCTCAAATTCTTCCAGTTTTCAGTTTTGTGCTTCTTTGTAACCACTGTTCCTCAGTTTTGCAAATCTCATTTCGAATCTCTTTGTTGGTGCTTCTATACTCAGTCTCGTTCTTGTTTTTAAAACTTCTCCGTTTATCAATATTCTTGTTGCTTGGTGGTCCACTTTCAGTGTTTGTACAGTTACGATGGCGTCCTTGAAGCTGTTCCAGTTGTCTTTCACTGGTCAAGCTTTAATCATTTCCAGTACAAATCTTAAGAAAGAATGGGTATGATTGGGAGAACAGTTTAATAAGTACTGGAATCGCAAAACTTGAACGTTAGCAGATGGAAATCTGTTCTGGATGAATAATTACATTGCATTAGTTGAGATTGCAAAATGGGAAAGGAATATCTGTTTCAAACAAGCATTATTATCACGAATAGTCGAGAAGATGTATCGAATGAAAACTTGAAAATTATTGAAATTCGGTTGAATATACCTCAACCAGTCCAGTCAAAAGCAGATCATCTTCAATGAAATCAGAATAAAATAGAATTGAATAATCCGCCACCAACTTGCTCATTTAGCAATTCTCAACCTTCTCCTTCAACAGCATGTCACCATACAATGGAGACAGATCTGAAGAGAGATAGTCGAATTCCACCCTACCCGGAAGACTACATTCATCAAAAGAAGAATGGGATAATGTTATGAAATGATTCTACTGTATCTATTCAACAGTATGTTATTTTCATTAGTTTAAGTCAGAGATGGGCATCTACGCGTAAACACAGATTGTCTACGTCTGGTGTAAACAACGCGTAGACAATGTAGAGTCCGCGTCAGCATTAAAGAATACGGTGACGACACGGAAAGCTGCGCGAAGCGGGTCGCATCTCTCTCCCTCGTCCATCTCTCGCTGTTTGCCGTGACCTCGGTCGTGAGCTGAAACCAGCAGCGGGGTATCTTTTTAGACAAAACTTGGATAGAAAATAAACTAAATAAATATGCCTGCTTGCCGTACGACAATGAA